GGAGATTAGAGAGAAGTTGGAGCAATGAAGAGGACAAGCTAGGTCCGTCGGGAGTGTTGCCTTTGGGGTGGCTGGCATCATTGACGTAATACCAGTGGGAGCTAAGAGCAGGAACGAACATTCTTTGTCGTAAACTCTGTTCAACAATTACAAAGAAAGTATCTGCCCATATCTCTCATCACGCGTTCCGCGTGGCCCCTCGCGTCGACAACACCACGAAAATCCTGCTAGGACATGTTGGGCTCCGAGCCGGGTCGGTGTTTGTGTGGGGTCGGGGTGTGCGGTTGGCGGCGGCGGCGGCGGCGCGGGTGCGGAGGGCCGCTTCCCGGGGCCGCTGCTGGACGTGAGCGGCGGCGGGACGCTGTCGCACAGCTACCAGTACGAGGTGCGCCTGACGGGCGACGCCGGGACCGGGGAGTTCAAGTTCATGAAACCCATTAGCCCCAACCTCTTTGTTCAGGACCCTGGGAGAGAAATTAACGAAAATCCTAATTATAGGAGTAGCTTTGTATTCAATTAAGTGTTGACCACGGCTAAATGAATCTCATTACTTTTGCCAACTTCTCGTTGCAATGTTTGAAGATATTGTATTGCTATGTAAATACTCATAGTACAATTCCAAACCTATGCACATCTCTGATCACGGTGTTTGCCTTTTTTATTGGTGTTATTTGCATTTAGTATTTTTAGTGATACTGGCTTTATTTCCTTCATATTTGACCTCTTGGCGATTATTCTTTGCACAACTATAAATTACTCAAGCAGTATAAAGAGAAATTTTATTTTAATGATGCTCTTAAGTTTTTTTTTTTTTTTTTTGACAGGCAGAGTGGACAGTGAGAGAGAGAGAGACAGAGAGAAAGGTCTTCCTTTGCCGTTGGTTCACCCTCCAATGGCCGCTGCGGCAGGCGCACCGCGCTGATCCGATGGCAGGAGCCAGGTACTTATCCTGGCCTCCCATGGGGTGCAGGGCCCAAGTACTTGGGCCATCCTCCACTGCACTCCCGGGCCACAGCAGAGAGCTGGCCTGGAAGAGGGGCAACCGGGACAGAATCCGGCACCCCGACCAGGACTAGAACCCGGTGTGCCGGCGCCGCTAGGCGGAGGATTAGCCTAGTGAGCCACAGCGCCGGCCAGTTGGTGTCTTTTTTAATGAAATCTTTTGAAGCTTTTCCGTGATCTTGATTTTTTTTATATTGGTGATGCCTTTTTTACCATTTATCTTTCACGTTTCAAGTTCCTAGTAGTTCCCTCCACATTTACTGATGATGTCCTGCAGGGTTAAGACTCCTAGAGCCCTGGCATAAAGTGTGGCACGCTTGTGTCTTCCAAATTTTGTATGAACATGCACTTTTCTTGTCGTGAGCAGCCTTCATACTCAAGATTGCATTGTTTGGTTACTACCTACCTAGCTCATTCTAAATGCCTCATAAATACTAATAATAGATTTCTACAATAATTTTTATTTACAGCGAAAGACACTATCTCATATGATTTGCCATCCTTTTCATTAAGAAAATCTATTCAATAACTGATTGATATTATCCTCTTTTAAAAATCTCAGACCTGAAATAAACCATAAGCTTCTCTCAAAGAATACACAAAGCTTCAGAGCATCATAGTTTTCCTTGCTTTTGCCACGTCCAAGTGCACATTAATGTGTGCATTTTCCTTTGGTTTTTCTGCAGCTTTTCCCAGATTTTAAAAAGAGACATGAAATTTCTTCTGAATCTTTGCTGCTCTGCTTCATTGGGATGATCAGTTGATCTTAGATTTTTCACTTTATTTTACTTTGCAGGTATAGACAAGTCTTTATCAGCAAAATAGTGCTTTTTATGTTTAACCACCTTTTGTCTTTTTTTAAACTTCAGTTATTTTGAATCAATATAATTTATTAATAATACCATTACATTAGTATGAAATATGCAGATATTTTGTCCCTAAGTAGATTGGCGTGATAATGAATTTAGCTGAATCATAATTCCTTTATTTTGTGTTATGTAAGCCACTTCTAACTAGTTAAATGTATGTGTATATAGCTCTAAGACAGTTCTGTTAGAATTTTGGCCACGTATAAGCTTGCTTAATAATCTAACTTTTGTTTCTAAATAAGAAGTGTCATCCTACTGCAGTATACATACTTGCACTTTTGACCAAATACTATAATTAAATAAAAATGGAAAATTGTTCAGCATTTAAGTCATTCAGCAAACAATTTTTGGTCTGTATTCAATTTAAATCTTAAACTTTTTTTGAAAACTAAAAGAAAATTTTACTTATTTTTTAAAAGATTTATTTATTTATTTATTTGAATGTCAGAGTTACACAGAGAGAGGAGAGGCAGAGAGCGAGAGTGAGAACAAGAGAGAAAGGTCTTCCATCCATTGGTTCATTCCCCAATTGGCCGCAATGGTGGGAGCTGGACCGATCTGGAGCCAGGAGCTTCTTCTGGTTCTCCCATGGGGATGCAGCGGCCCAAGGACTTGGGCCATCTTCTACTGCTTTCCCAGGCTGAGAGCTGGATCAGAATTGGAGCAGCTGGGACTCAAACCAGCACCCATATGGGATACCAGCACTGCAGGCACTGGCTTTACCCCCATGCCACAGCGCTGGCCCTAACTCATCATAATTTAAATATTTAAAACCTTCCTACTCCAATTCACATTGGTGAATTCTTCCAACTACTTACCTAAGAATTAAACCAATTTATGCAAACTCATAGGATAGAAAAAACAATGTCCAAACCTTTTCAGTGCCAGCATAATCTGAATAGGTTATGACAACTGAACCTGAATAGGATTTTGTGAAAAAGGAAAATTATAAGCCTATCTCTTTCATAAACAAGGACAAATAATCTTTTAAAAGATCAGCAAATTAAATTAAATTTGCAAATCTATAAAAGGAAACAAATTATGAGAAAGTGAGGTTTATTTTAGGAATACAAGTGCATTTACTATTTGAAAATTAGTAGTATGATTCACCATAAACACAGATAAAGGAGGAAAAATATAATCACAATGGCTATATTGAAAGTGATATGATAGATCAGTTAATGGTAAAACTGTTAGCAAATAAACTGGAAGGGAACTTTCAGAGAATCTTTAAGACCTACAGTAAATATCATTAATAGCAAATTATGAAGAATTTTGCCTGGAGATCAAGAAACAAGGATGCGCACATTTACTCCTTCAGGTTTTTATTATAGGTTGTAACTGGTGAAATAAGACAACAAATAAAATATAGAAGTTATGGTAGTTTCAGTACCCAGGAACAAATCTAACACAATATTCATAATCCTCTACACTAAAAACTGTAAAACACTGAGAAAATAAATGAAAATCTAAATACAGCATTTACTAGTTGGAAGACTCAATGTTGGGAATACATCAGTTTGTCCCCAAACTATCAACACAATGAAATCCTTAAAATTTTATCAGCTATCTTTTTAATAGTTGATGAGCTGAATATAAAGTTTATGCAGAAAAAAGGACAAAAGTAAAGAAATCTTGAAGAGAAAGAAAAAAACTGGAGATACCACAAGAAAGGCACGACCCAAAGGAGAAAGGATTGATAGGCTAAACTCCCTTACAACTCTATGCCCTGCCATACATGGTTCTAGCAAGAGAATGCAAAGACAAGCCACTGGCTGAGAGCAAATATCTGCAAAACACACATGTGATCAAGAACTATTAAAGCTCAGCAATAAGGTAACAGACAACTTCATTTACAATGGACCAAGGAGGAGAACCATGTGGAGAAGCAGGCTAAGCTCCACTTGGGACATCCAGATATCCTGTTGGAGTGCCTGGTTCAAGTCCCAGCTTCTGATCCAGTTTCTTGATAATCTGCCTAGGAGACAGTGATGATGGCCTGACCAAGTATTTGGGTTCCTGTCACTCATGAGGGAGACCTGGAAGGAATTAGTACCTCCTGGCTTCCACCTGGCCTAGCATTTGACAAGTGAACCAGCACATGGAAGATATCTCTGTGTCTGCTTCTCTGTGTCACTCTGCCTTTCAAATAAAAAAGAAAATATTTTTATAAATGGCCCAAAGACTTTAGTAAACACTTTACCAAAGATTTTTATTTGACAAATAAGCATATGAAAAGATGCTCCACATCTTACATCTTCAAGGAAATGTAAATTAAAATAACAAGGAAATACTGGACCCTATTAGAATGACCAAATTCCAAACACTGACGTCAGCAAATGCTTGCGAAGATGTGGCGCAACAGCAGCTCCTGTTCACTGCTAGTGAGAATGAGAAATGGTGCGGCCACTTTGGAAGAGAGATGGGAAGCTTTTAATGGAAGCACACATGCTCTCACTGTGTGATCCTGCAATCATTGTATGGAACGAAATAGCACAAGTTGCATGCAATAGTAACTAAGGACGCCTGGTGGCGCTGCAGGCTTGCGAGTGTGAACGACCGGCTCTCCAGTTACCCAGGTCGCCATTAAGCTGCGAATCAGAACTCTGAAGGCTCTCTGAAAGAAAGAAGCGTTTTGGGTGAGCTCCAGGGGAGAGATGCTTAGTGAGCCTCGTTTTCAGTGCAAGTCGCTGAGGAAGGTCTAATTCGAGGTAACCAAACTATCTGGGTGGACGGTGTACTGAGTGGAAGAAACTGCATCTTCTGGACCAGCTCAGAACAATGGAGACTGCGCTCGCCAAAACGCCACGCAAAAGGCAAGTTGTCTTTCTTGTCGTACTGTTGCTTTTGTGGGAGGTTGGCGCTGATGTACTTAGATATTCCATTCCAGAAGAAACAGAAAGTGGCCATTTTGTGGCCAACCTGGCTGAGGACCTGGGGCTAGGGGTGGGAGAACTGGCGGCTCGGGGCGCGCGAATCCATTACAAAGGAAACAAACAGCTCTTGCAGCTCACTAGAGAGACTGGCGATTTGCTTCTCCGCGAAAAACTGGACCGGGAGGTGCTGTGCGGGACGACAGAGCCCTGCATTTTGCATTTCCAACTGTTGCTGGAGAACCCAGTGCAGTTTTTGCAAGCTGAGCTGCAGCTCACAGATGTAAATGACCATTCCCCCGAGTTCCTGGAGAGGCAGATGCTGCTAAAAATCCCTGAGAGCGCCCAGCCGGGCTCCGTGTTTCCTTTGAAAACAGCCCAGGACCTGGACACGGGTAGCAACACTGTTCAGAACTACACCATCAGCCCCAACTCCACATTTCATGTCGTTACTCATAATCGCGGAGACGGCAGGAAGCACCCAGAGCTGGTGCTGGACAAAGCGCTCGACCGGGAGGAGCAGCCCGAGGTCGCGTTAGTCCTCACGGCGCTGGACGGCGGGGTTCCGCCCAGGTCGGGGACTGCCACAGTGCGCGTCGAAGTCGTGGACATCAACGATAATGCCCCCGAGTTTTTACAGACGGTGTACGCGGTGCAGGTTCCCGAGGACAGCCCCGTGAGTTCCTCGGTGGTCAAGGTCTCTGCCCGGGATTCGGACGCAGGAGCGTATGGTAGAGTAACCTACGCTCTGTTCCAAGGTGATGAGGGTGCCCAGCCATTTGTAATAGACGAGGTCACGGGAGAAATTCGTCTGAAGGGGGCGTTGGATTTCGAGACTACTAGAGGTTACAGCGTGGAAATTATAGCCACAGACGGCGGAGGCCTATCAGGAAAATGCACCGTGGCTGTAGAGGTGCTGGACGTGAATGACAACGCGCCGGAACTGACCATGGCCACGCTGACCAGCGCCATCCCAGAAAACTCGCCCGAGACCATGGTTGCCGTTTTCAGTATTTCTGATCCGGACTCCGGAGACAACGGGAAGATGGTTTGCTCCATCCAGAACGACCTTCCCTTCCTTTTAAAGCCCACATTCAAGAACTTCTACACCCTGGTAACCGATGGAGCGCTGGACAGGGAGGCCAGGGCCGAGTACAACATCACCATCACCGTGTCCGACCTGGGCACGCCCAGGCTGACCACCCGGCACCACGTCGCGGTGCAGGTGTCCGACGTGAACGACAACGCCCCGGCCTTCAGCCAGGCCGCCTACACCCTGCTGGTGCGCGAGAACAACAGCCCCGGGCTGCTCATCGGCTCCGTGAGCGCCAGCGACAGGGACGCGGGCGCCAACGCGCAGGTGACCTACTC